GACCTACCACCTTCTTTGGGTTGAGCGGGTAGTAATTTGTGACAAGTTTGGAATCCATAATCCTGCTGGTCTGATATTTGCTGTGTAGCCCACGCTGGCCTGGAAAACATAGCAATTCTCCTGCCTCAACCCCCCAAATGACCCCACCTAACAAGTCGTGTCATCATCTTAACCTGTCTGATAAGTTGTCACCTAGGCAACAATAAAGAAATTTGCTGAAATGGGGGCAGCTATCTAAAAAGCACAGTGAACTCCAAGTATAAACGAAGGGGTTGTTGAAATGGATGAAAGCGTCCTTTGCTGCTTTCCAAGCCAGGGTGTGTGTGTACCAGTGTTGTTGTTGTTGGTGGTGGTGGTGGTGTGTGTGTTGTTGCTGTTGTTGTTAGTGGTGGTGGTGGTGTGTATGTTGTTGTTGTGAATGTCTGAGTTATTTTACATCATGGGTTTTACATTAGCTTCACTAATATTTGACATGCAGAGGAAAAAGGAAAAGCCTTCTGCTGTTTTGAGATTGAAACATGCAAGATGCAGCCATAAACACAAAGCAACATTCCCACTTGAACCAACTCCTGACTGCCCCCAAATTCCTGGCAGATGTTAGGGAGCGCCTGGCCTTCCCTTAGGTCTCCATGGACTGGCATGCATTACAAAGCAGCATCAGATACACCGGAGCATAGATTCCTGCTTTTCCTTGTGGAAGCTGTCTGTAGGGATGCTTTAATACTGGGCTGCTTTCTCTCTATCATTATGAGCAGACTATCAGAAAGAAAAAAATCTGGCCATGCTGTGGTGGCACATGCATGTCATTCTAACACTGCTGCTGCTGAGGCAAGAGAATCAGCATGAGTTCAAAAGTCGCCTGGACTACATAGGAAATTCCAGGCCAGCCTGAGCTACAGATGAAAACCTGTCTCAAGAAACAAGTAAACAGAATCTAACGGCCAAAGCAGCTTGAGTAAGGCGTAGTGATACGAAGAAGCCATCGGCAGGACAGTGTGCTCCAAAGGCCAACTGAGGAACGGGTGGACTAGGTGCTGGTTTGGATTATCCCTGCTGCTGCTTTGCCTACCTTCCTGCATACCTCCTTGTGCCCCTAGGGTGTGGACTAGGTGGCTGTTTGCTACTGGCTTCACTGAATGTGGTGCCAGCAAGTCCCTTTGCTCTCTGAGCCTCAGTTTCTCCATCTGTAAAAAGGGGGATTAAGGAAGTCAAGACAGCAACCAGCAACCGAATGGGGGAAACATTTAGTGATCACATTATCAGCTAAGAGTCCAGTATTTGGAATCTACAGAACACTCTGACAATTCAAGAATAAAAAGATAATCCAACCTTTCAAAACAAGTAAGAATAATTTGGAGAGATACTTTCCAAAGAAGAGGTATAAATTCCCATTATCACAGAAAGATGCATACGTTCCTTAAGGAAATGCAAATCAAAACTACAGTGAGGGGGGTCAGTGAGATGGGTTTGTGGGTACACTGGCTGTCAATCTGACAACCTGAGGTCCCTCCCTGGAGTCCATATGAACACACACACACACACACGTACACACGCACACACGCACAACAATAGCAACAGCAACAACAAAAACTATTGCTGAGATCCCAGCTCACATCCACTGCCACACTAAAATAAAATAAAAATCAAAACCCGGAAAGTAATAACTTATTGAGGATGCAGAAAAAAATGAATGTTTGTGCATTGTTAGTTGAAATACAGGGTGGTACAGTCAGTGTGGAAACAGTTCAAAATATTAAACCTAGGGCTAGGCATGTTGCCACCCACCTGTAATTCCCGAACTGTGCAAGCACTATCAGGATGATTGCAGGCTTGAGACCAGCATTGGCTACACCGTACAAACCTGTCTCCCAAAACTAAGAGCGACTAGATGCTCTGTCACATACCTTTAATCTGCCTCTGGTGAGGCAGAGGTGTGTGGGTCTTCATGAGTTCAAGGCCATTTTCCTGGTCTACAAATTGAATTCTGTACCAGTCAGTACACAGCGAGACCCTGTCTCAATCAAAACCAAACAGAAACAAACAACAGTACCCCTCCCCCAAAAAAATGATGTACAGGCTTACACATGAAGCCTCGTAGCAACATTATTTATAATAACCCAAAGATAGAAGTGAACCCAAAATCTTGTCAACTGATTGATGGACAGCAAAATACTGTATTTTCACACAGTAGAATATTATTTATAATTAGAAAGGAATGAAGCACCACTAATCCAGGCTACAGTATTCATGAACCTTGAAAACATTATACTAACATACAAACGGGCATATATGTGTGTATCTATATATATATAAAATACATATATAATATATACATATATAATTCCATTTATATGAAGTGTTCAGAACAGCAAATGTATAACAATAGCAAATAGGCCAATGGTTAATAGGGTCTATGGGCAAAGGGAATGAAATTTAGTTCCTAGAAGCAATGCAAACACTCTGAAATTCAGCAGTCGTGAGAGTTGCCTATAGTTAAAATACAACACAACAAAACAGATTAAGTATTATTTTTGCTCCCGGGCTTGAACCTAGGGCCTTGCATGAGTTAGGCGAGCGCTCTGCGACTGAACTCTGTCTCCAGTCTTTTTTCAATTGTATACTTTAAAGGGGGAAATTTGATGATATGCGAATTATATCTCATTTAAACAGTCTGAATTCTAGCAGTGGTTTACCAGTTTGGCAGAATCACAAGCAGCCTCTCGCCACGAAAGCCTGTATGTTTAACATGTCCCTGGGGGGGGGTTCAGATGTAGCCAGGTTTGGGGACCTCTGAACTAGCTCTCCCATTCTCGACCCTGCTCGCATCTGTAATGAGGGGGACCTGTTAACAGTAGCTGCACACAGCCCCTTTCTCTATGGGAGCTGGCCCCTCTCGGGTTCTGCATGCCCTGAAACAGCCAGACCTCACACCCCAAGAAGGACCTGTTGCATTAACTACAGAAACAGACCCCTCTTGTGCTCCTGGGGCCGCAGGAGGTTTTTCCACCTCCCCCCCCACCTCTGCAGCCTCTGCAGCGGTCTGCTGGTGTTGGCTTCCCCAAATGAGGGCTCTGCGCCCCTCCCCCACCTCCTTCCTTCAGAGCTTCTTTCTATAGAGCCTGGGATGGCCTATCCTTTGCTCTGGTCACACCAGTGCTAGCCCTGTAATGTGGTAGGAGAAGCCGAATTCCACTAGGGAATCTGACAGAGGAGCAAGTGTGAAACTGCCTGCTACTGGCAGCCTGCCTCTGGGGCCTACCTCAGACTTTTGAAAAGGGAGATCTCAGAGAGACAAGGCAGGCCTGGACTTCAGCCTGATGCCCAAGTGCTTCTGGCCCTGGTAGCATGAACAAGGGTACAGGTATGTGTGCCGGCCTAGAAGGCCCTGGGCTTTGCTGTTGAGCTGCAAGCTGGAGGGTTGGTACCTTGGGAGGCCTCTTGATGTGCCTTGCTGTCTCCTTACTCCTTCCAAGGACTACAGCAACAACAGTGCCACTCAGTGACTCAGAGTCAGCTGTATGCCCAGCCCAAAGTGACATGCTCCGAGATACTTCATATAATCTTCACAGTGACATCTGCCAATGGGAATTATGCTTCTCACTGGGCCTCCAAAACTCATGCTCATGTATTCATATAACCAGTATTTATCGAGCAGTTATTATGCAGCCAGCACTTTGCTAAGTGATGAAGATATATATATATATATTTGTACATACAAGTGAAGTGAAGTCCTTCTTCTCTTGGGGATTCCATTCTGATCCTGACCACAGAAGGAACTTTCTTGAATGTGATTGGGCTGGTCTATCACCCCCTGTTCACTGAAGTTTCTAAGTTCTCCTGCCTCAGTTTCTCCCTGCATGTGCAGATCCCCTACAATGGATGTTCCCGCGTTGTCCTATGGCTGGTAGTTTCAGGACACTGGGGAAAGCTTTGCTCATATCCCATCATTATGACCCTTGGCAATCTTTCTACCCTTGTTTAATTGACTGGCAGCTATTTTTCTTTGAATGGGTTTGCTTTGGGAGAACACATACCTGTAAGGCTTGCCTCTGTGTCAAACTGTGCAACACGGTCTATTACATAATTTCTGCTGGTTCTGTTGTGTTCCTAATAAACCTTTAAGTGAGTATGTCCAGCTGAGGCTGTGGCTCACTTGCAGAATGTCTGCCTAGTGTATGCAAGGCCCTGGGCTCCAGTCCCAGCACACAAAACCTAAGTCAGTCACTTGTGCCATAAGAAAGTTTATTTGTGTGCTACTTATAATCTGCTAGCACCAACCCCATGGGCACCTCTGGGGAAAGATGACGCTAGAAAATATGAGTCCCTCTGCTTCATGGAGGAGAACGTGGGTGAAGAACACCTTCTTACTTAGGTCAAGAAGCAGCTTTAGTGACCAGCCTTTGGTTGGACCCTGAACATCCACGGCCCAGAAATATCCCCCCGCCCCCCAGAAAGCTCTGTGGTATACAAGAGGAGCCAGAAGAGACATGAGGAAGGGCAGTGGCCAGTGGTGAGACAGCCGGTCTAATGACCTCCCCAGTTCCAGATCAATAACAGATTCACCAAAGACCTGAAGAAAATGGGGCTGGAAGATCATTGAGGAAGCCTGGTACAATGCGTGCATTTTCCGTGAGCCCTTGGTGTTGTCTCTCAGTTCAGCCCAAGTCCACCCATGTTTGGTAAGCTCATGGTGGCCGCCTGGCCCTGTTCAAATACTTCAGTCTTTTGAACAGCTCAAGTACATCAGTTTCCCCATTTCACAAATGAGGAGAGAAGAGGACTCTCCTTATACTGTGCTCCTGAGTAGGAGCTGAGACAAAAATGTGTGAATGGAACTCCACCCAGATATTATCCTGCCCAGTCAAAGAATTCAATACACACATGCTGGCTCCTTTAGTTTGTAAGGCAATGTTCCAGGGAGGCGATGGGTGTGGAGGGTTGTAGAGGGGTGTGGAGGGGTGTGGAGGGGCGTGGAGATTAGCCCAGTACTGTCCTTACAGCTGAGGAGCCGAAACAGACCAACTGTTTGGCTGAACCATATGAAATTGGCAGCTTTCAACCATTTTTTGGCCCACAACCCAATACTACGCTGTCATCCAGATCAGAAAGCAAAGTAAGCACAAAACGGGATGGGGGAGGAGAGAGGTTTTTTGGGAAGAGTCAGGGCTGGCTCCTCTGAGGACTCTGCTTCCAGGGTCCTGTAGGCCTGGAAGGGGCGGGCTGTGGTGGGCTGAGAGCCAGCCAGCCAAGCCTGCCAGGCCGGAAGTAGTGAAGGGAGTTGAGCCCAGGGAGCTGGGTGGGACCCATTGTGGAGGGTCTGAGCTGGTGACTTTGAAAGTGACCCTTAGGATTTGGCAAATGGAAGCTGCTTTCATACCTTTCTGCTTGGTGAGCTGAGTGGCCCAAAGTGACCCAGCAGCTTTGTAACTCTGCCATAGAGAGCTGAGGTGGCAGCAGGGGCAACTAGCCAAAACACAAAAATAAAAAAGGAAGGTTCTTGTAGGGAGCTGGGAAAGGGAATTCTTGAATGACCAAGGAAAGCTGAGGAATTCCTTTCCCTGGAGACCTTGTAGGGAAGTCTTTACGCGTCTGCTTCTAGAACAGTTCTGCCCAGAGGCCCTGGACCAGATGACCTATTTGGGCTCTTTCCAGTCTGCAGCCTAGGTGATGTCATTGTTCCCTATTTCTCTGGATAGGGCAACCTCACCCCGTCACACTCATTGGGGTTATTCCTGTCTTAGAGATCCCAGGTTCCCAAAGCCACAGCTCTTCCGGTTGATGATTCACGACCTTGTCTAGCCGCCATCCTCCTTGCTGTCAGACTGAGTCAGTCCAGCTGCTCTCTCCCTACTGTCCCTTGGAGGTGACAAAGCATAGGCTGGCTCTTTATACAGTCAAGGCCCGGGTGTTTGGCTTTCCCTCCACTGTGAATTTTTAACCCAGAGTCTGGATTTGAGTCTTGGCAAGTTGTATGAGCTAGAGAAAGTCATTTGTGGGCAGGGAGTAAGTAAATTAACATTTATGGGTTGTAACTAGAGGCTCTATACTGATTCGTTGAGTGAACCTGATAGAGGCATGATCCTTATTTCATGGGAAGGGGAGTTGACGGAGGCTCCATGAGGCTGGGCCTCTTGTTCAGGATCCACCTAGTAAGTCAGAGAGCTACAGCGGAAGGAAGGTACATACTTTAGCCCGTGGCACTAGCTGTCGCTGTACTGTGCAGTCTTGGTTTCTGCTATCTGTAAACTAGTGCTAATACTCTCTGCTCCACAGAGTTACTGGGAGGAATCAAAACATACACATTTGCAGGGCATCATGGCATATGCCTTCAGCCTTAGTGCTTCAGGGGTAGTTCAAGGCTAGTTTGGGCTGCATACTAAAACCCTGTCTCAAAAGTAAAAACAAAGCTCCTTACACATTGCATGGAAGTGATAAATAAACCAAAAAGTGCAGACACTAAAAATCATAAAAAACTCAACCCTAGTCACATCTCTGGGCCTCTTTCCTTTAGTCAGGAACTCTTATTCATCCCAGTTATTACTACATTGGATGGCCATACGTCATAATTATACACGGCGGTGCTAGGGATGGAACCCTAGGGCCTTGTGCACGCTAGGCAAGTATTCTACCATTGAGTCATGCCAGCCCCGGCAAGCCTTTCTCTAGCATGTTTGCTTGCCTAATTCACTTGGGAGCATCTCAAGGGCATGTTGCCTGCCCTGGCTCGTGCCAGTGTGCACGGAGGCTGGCTTAAGTGGCTGGTGGGGGTACAGTTTTCCCTGGCCTTGTAATGCCTTTGGCATTACCTTCCCTGCTCTGGGCTCTAGATCCATACGCTCCCAACATGGAAGCTAGCATCCTCCCTGCTACCTGCTGCTAGCCATCTTCCTTCCTACCTGTGGTCATAGGCTGACCTTGGCCAGCTGAATCTCAGCCTTCAGCATGCAGTTCTAGCCTCTTGGAGATCTTTGGACAATTTATCACTGCCAGGATACTCATCGAATAAAGGACAGGCTTCAGTTACCCAAATCTGCCATGTACTTCCCTACTTCTGTAGCTTGGCTCCAGTGCTTTGGCAGAATGTCCTTCTGCATGCAATGTCTCCAGTTGTGAGGTCCCTCCTGACCACTCGCCTTCAACGTCCCATGCGTCCTCACTAGAGAGCAACAACTCTTGCAGGACTCCTTATGTCTCCTGCCATCTCAGGAGTCACGTGCATCCCATGGTGTGACCCCAGGCAAGCTGGTCTGGGCCCCGGTCTCCAGTCTCTTCCCCATGCCCAGTGATTCTCCCCAAACTTGCCATCCCATGATCTGGCTTTTGGAAAAGTTATGGGGTAACAAGACACAAAAGAGTCCCAAGTAGAACCTTCGAGTCTTGACAGCACATGCTCTCCTCCCAGGCCTACAGATCAGCTTTGGAGATCGTACATGCTAATTGGCTTGCTTAATAAAGGGATAAATAAATATCTGCTTAACATGATTGCTGTCAGAGTCCTGAGCTACAGAGCCTTCCCTGCCTTAGAGTTTGACTGCAGGAGAAGCTAATTAGTTCTAATTAGGCAACTCCCAGGTGTTTTAGACCGAGAAGATGGTGGGGGGGGCGGGGAGAGTGGAAGGCAGGTGGGGAAGGGGCAGGAAAGGGACCCCATTCACCCCTCCCTCCTTCTTAAGCAGGCTCCTTGGCTCTTAACTTTTCATCTACCTGATATCCTGGAAGGAATCTCCTGGAGAAGCTATTGGGTGCAAGGGGCTGCCTCAGCCATGTTCTCTGCCCCGTCTCATTTGTTCCTCATCATGAGGTAAGAACTCGTCATGGTCCCAATTCGTAGATGGGGAAAGTGAGATCTATTAAAGGCAAGCCCAGGGAGGCAGAGGTGCTGAGATGGATTCAGTGCTAAGGCCATGGCATTGTTTGGCTACGACTGTTTCTCTGGAAGCCAAGTGTACAGATGCTGTGGGGGCAGCTTAGGGGCAAGAGAGGTTTTCCAGAGTGAACCAAACTGGCCACAGCCAACGCTGATACAGTATCTAGGAGAGTTGGTCATCCTTTGGATCCCCATCTCCACCACACCCCAAGACTCCTTCCCACATGACTCCGACCCCTGCCCTCAAGGAGTTGCCTGGAAGTCTATAGACACCTGAGTGGCCCATCATTTAAGGACAAGAAGTAGATAGAGTAGACCGGGATTTCAGGAGAGTCAAGGCAAAGGAAGATGCGTTCCAGGCCAGCCAAGGCTGTATGTTGCTATACCTTGCCTTAAAAGTGATGTCTATAGAGCGTGGCGTCCCTCTTCTGTCTGTCATTTCTGTAAGAAAGGTACCTAGGCTTGAGATTCCCAGTTTACTTTTTTTTTTCCCCATGAGTCTGCTAGGGGCAAGCAAAGGAGTTTAGGTTTGGATCTGAATTTGGTTCTGTCCTGACATATTTTTAATGTGTGCTCTTAGACATAACCCCCTTTGCCATAATAGGTCTTTACTGCCCCCATTCTGAGCCTGGCATCCCAGATCTTACCTGGCTATACCCTCTTCGCTGGCTTCCTTGTGAGTCTCCTTGCTCCTCTGTCGTCTATTCTTCATCCTGTGGTTAAACAGATCTTGTAATATTCCTCTGACCATGCCCTTGCAGTTCTCTCCACAAAGCAGACATGATTAGGCCCCTGTCTGCTACTTGGAACTCATTGTAGGCTACGCTACTCTACTTGCTGAGATCTACGGCTTCTGTTTTCTTAGCTTAACTTGAAAGTTACTCAACTTGTTTCCGCACCAGAACCTTCATACTTGCTGTTCCTGCCCCTTCACTGCCCTGGCTCTAACTATTGCTATGGCTGACTCCTCATTTTTCGGCGTCGTACTAGAGGTGAAATCCAAGGCATTGAGTGAGTAGTAAGAGTAGAATCACCGAGCCTCAGCCTTTTCCTGTGCTACCTAGGCTAGCCTTGTGGTCACTCTGTAACCCAGGCAGGCCTCAAACTTTCCATCCTCCTGTTTCAGCTCCCCAAGTCACCGGGACTCCAGGCCTATACCACCAGGCCTAGATCCCTTTTGCTTCTTCAGTATTACCTCCTCAGAGACATATTTCCTTAAAGAGCAGTACCATTTTTTTTGTTTTCAACTCAGTATTCTTTTGGGTGCCTTCCAAATACCACAGTTGGCAATTATTTTTCATTCCATTTTAAAATGTGTTTATTGACTATTTCCTTTCACTTACGCCGAAGATCCGTGAAGTTGATGACTGTTTTCATCGTAAGTGTACCTCAGACAGTGTTTGGCACATAGTAGGGCCTCAGTGTAGACTTGTTATGCAGGCAGATGGCAGATGTTCGCATCAATGAGTGAGCGACCAGGTCTTGAAACTGCTGTAAGGATTAAATGAACTAATGCTTGTTAAATGTCTGGCAGAGAGCCCAGTAAAAAGCACAGCTCAATAGCTAACCTTGGAATGCACGTGTGACCTGTGGGCTGGCACCCAGCTGCTTGCTGAGCTAGCCTCACCCTAGTCAGCTAGCTTTCCATCCTCATAGCCTGTTGCCCACAAGGCCCAGCTCCAGCTGCCATGTTAACAACCTCTTCTCATCTGTAGGTTCCATTGTGCTGGGGTGGAGAGCCTGCTGTTGGTGTTACGCCATTGGTAGAGCAAGATGGCCCAAATGTGGGAAATTAGCAAGCAGGACAAGTGAGGACTCTGCTTCCTCTGGCTTCCGGAAAAGCTCTTTTACCAGTACACTGCCAACGACCTCCACCATGACTGCATGACCAGCCAAATGTTCCATCCTGTGTTCTCGGTATGCATTGAGCTCCCTGCCTTGACAGCCCAGCTCAAGAACTGATTCCCCCAGTGCTGATGACAGTCTCTGTGCAACCAAGCAGGAACCCCCAAGCCAGCATTTTTGTATATTCATTTTTTGTCCTCTTTCTCTGAGTACATATGAGAAGCACACTTTAAAGCCTGAAAGCAGAGGCGGGGTGTGTGTGTGTGTGTGTGTGTGTGTGTGTGTGTGTGTGCATGTTTCTGTTTCCCTCTGGCACCTGGCACACACTTGGCAACAATGAAAGCCCTCCTCAAGACTCCCAGCTGCAGCTTGGTAGAGCAGCAGGAAGGTGGGCCAAGAAAATGGGGGCTCTGCATTTGACTCAGCCACTGGTTTGCAGAGGAAGCTCTAGGCACCCTCTTCGCCTTTCTAGAATGATGTTGATGGTTTCGAAGCTTCCTGGAGATGCAGGCTTGCAAGGGAACACTCACTAATTCTACTAAAGGGTATTATGATTTTATGCAAACCCCCTTAGGTATTTTTAAAGCAAGGAGCATCCCTTTGGTCCATCAACTGTAACGGAGGACTCAAAAGGGCCGTTAGGAATCCTGAACTTGAAACCTTTGCCCTGCAGGTATTTCCAGCTAGGGTTTACCTGAGCACTTACTATGTACCAGGTACAATTCTAAACACTTCTGTCTGTGGATGAACTCATTTAACCCTCACAACAATGAGGCGGGAAGATCTGTACTGTTATCAATGTCCATTTTATGCGTTATTCAAAGATGTCAAACGACATACTCAAGTCACTCAGTGGCAAAGTGGAACTGACACTTGAATCTGATGGCAGTCTGTTCCTGAAGGCCACTGCTACCCGCTCTGCAGTACCGCCTTTTCATCTCTCAGAGGAATTGACCTCCTCTCTGGGGCTCTGAGGCCACAAGGTAGACAGTGAGCTCCTTTCTCACTGAAGCTCAAACAGTCCCACTGAGGCCCAAGCTTTGCTAATAGGCATAGAGCCCTAGAGGAAACATGGCTTCTTGGTCCCTCTGTGTTCTAGTCACATGACCTCGAGCAAGGCCCTCGCTTCTCTTAGCTTTAGATGATACATCTCTTTCACATGGGGGTCTATGAGTATTTAGAGAGGAAGGAAATTAGCATGAACTGGATAGCTCTCCTTCTGTGTGTGTGTGTGTGTGTGTGTGTGTGTGTGTGTGTGTGTGTCGGGGGGGGGAAGGGGGAGGCACATTGCTTTAAACCGCCTCTGACTCTCCTGGAAGGGTCTAAGGAGAAATTATTCCTCTCATTTTGCATAAGTATGCTCAGAAAGGCTAATGTCTTCCCTAGAGCCTTAGAGTCAGGACAAGTGGAAACAGGATTCAAACCTGAAAATTCATGCTCCTTTTACTTAAATAAACTGCTTTAGAATTACTTATAGAAAATTAAAAGGAGTATAGTACTCATCCATTAACACTCTCAGTGGATGCCTGGAACCATGGCCACTACTGAACCCAAATGATATGCTCAGAACTTTTCACCTCACTTAAAGAAGCACTTTCAGGGTCTTCTTTGGCATATTTGAAATGCCACCATCACTACGCTTACACTTCGGAGCCGCTGCTCCATGAAATAAGGGTTCCTTTGCCATAAGTATCATGAGAACACAGTAGATCTAATAGCCAAGCCAGCTACCAGGCGATGACTGATGCGCGGGTAGCATATGCAGTGTGCAGACCCGGGGGTAAAGGGAAGACTCACATCTCCAGCAGAACGGGGCAGGATGGCTCAAGATTTCATCATGCTACTCCAAACAGTAAGCAATATAAAGCTGACGAATTGTTTATTTTTAGAACTTTCCATGGATATATTTGGAGTTGATTAGGAAACTGAAACCTCACACGGCGAAGCCTCTGAGAGAGAACAACTGTACGGAGTTTCCCCCATAATCTGTTGCAAGCTTTCTTTGCTCTTAACATCTTGCACTATTAGGATGATGTGCTTGTCAGAATTAATAAACCAAAATTTACACATTATTGCTAATTACTGCTCGACATTCTTGGTTTTTACGTATTGCCCTTTATCCTCCCCCACAAGGCTGGTAGAGTTATGACTAGTAATTATGTCTTCTTAGGCTCCTCTCTGCGTGGGCAATTTCTTGGACTCACCCTGCCAGTACTGAGGAGTAGTGCTCAGGTATTTGGTACCATGTCCCTCAAGTGGAATGTGTCTGCTCTTTTCCTCAGGGATAGATTGGAGTTAGATGTTTCAGGGAGGAAGACCACACACCGAGGTCAGGTTCCATTCTTGACGCAACACGTCAAGGATATAACCTTGTCAGTGAGACCTCTTGCTCTAGACATTGAACTTGGCCACCTGACAGGGGGAGTGTGTAGTGGATTCTCCACTCTAACGTTACTCTTTCTTTTTCCTTTTTCATGAGCCACTCTTTGGAAGGAAGTCACTCGGCCCTGCCACCACTTAAGGGATGGGGAAAGGGATGATGTGCTCCCCTCCTTGTGCGAGGAAGTGCTGCATAAATTATTTGCAATTCTTCTGCTCCAGGGAATTGCCTCTTCTCCTCTGTTTATTTATTTATTTAATTGTTTATTTATATCACTATAGACTCATGGAAATTTTCTGTATACTTTGGGTTAATAGCCAATACTGCATTATTTATTTTGTTGCTCAAACTCTTCTAGTTTGACTGTTGGAAGTTTTTGCAGCTGGTCCCTACTTCCCTTGGCCGTATCCCCATCACAGTGGCTTTCTGTTTTTTTTTTCTTTTGTTGTTGTTTTGAGCACTTCCTTCATTTCTGGTACCACAGAACACTTCAGGCTCATTTTGTATATTCCCTGCCTCCGCCCTGGGATCGAGCTCTCCTGCACAGAGATTGATTCCTTTTATTGGACGATGGTATTAAGAAGCAAGGCCAGGGCTCTGAGCATGTCTGGTTCGACAGGAGCCTACTGACTCCTGAGGTCAGAGCACAGAGGTGTATGTGGATATCCTTCCAATGGATGAACGCCCATCTGTAAGTTCTCTGCAGCTCTATGAAGTCTGGAGCTCTATGAAGCTACCTTAGTTCAAATTTGTGTCTATTCTCCCACTCAAATGCACTGACACGGGGATTAGTCCAGCTCCCCCTTGCTTAACCGTAAGTACATTCCACTCCCAACAGCGAGCAGCCTGGCTCCTGCCATCAACCCCACACTCTTTCTCCCTAACTCCTGCCAGATTCCCAAGGCTTGTATGACAGTTGACAGGGTGAGGAGCTATGTTCATTTTTCCTGGACTCCGAGTAGCTTTTCCGTAGTGGGCTAAGATTCTGTGGCCTGGGAAACCCCCTTGGTTTGGTTTCTATTGGCAATCTTCAAAGTCCTGGGATGCTTTCTCCCAGTAATACTTGTCTGTGGCCGATTAAGCCGTTAGAGAGCTTGCGCATGTTGCAGCCACCCCTCAAACACTGGCTGGCAGGCTCTATTTACAGCCTCCTGTGCCATCACCCTCCCCTCTAACCAGTCATGGGGTCTCTTGCTCAATCTTGTGTTTCTGGCTAGTGGACTTGACTGACTGTGATGGAGGGCACTCAGGAATCCTGGGTCTAGGCAATCTGCAGCAGGAGGGCCTAAGGCTGCTTTGACAAGAGCTCCTATTACATCAGCTCAAAGGCCATCGCCTTGGGGCTGTATGCTCACTGGCCCCATGTGAGCAGGGTCCTATGACCAGCCCCGAATCTTGAGACGTCTGTGTTTTGGGGGTGCTCTTGCTATTACAAAGCACTTGCCAGAGCTGGTGGTGTTCCTTCCTGCAGGTGACATTCTCTGGATCATATGAGCCCCAGCCTGTTTCTCCCATTTTGGTACGGGCTGACTGGCAGATTCCCTGAAGATTTCCAGGACTTGTGTGTATGGTGTCTTTCTGCAGCCCCAAGGTTAGATCCATTTCCAGGTAGTTGATCTTGCAGGCAGGTTGCTCCCACTGGCTGACATGATACCTTTGGCTTCTTTCTTTCTTTCTTTCTTTTCAGGATCCTGGGTGGGCTTAGATTGTAAAAATGTTGTTGACTTATTGGCTGGAATGGCTTCTGTAGAAAGGTTCTCAAGACCCACACGCTCCTGGGACCATCTTTCTCCAGAACTTATAGAATTAAGAGTACAGAGTGTCCAAACTGCAAGGCACTTTTGTTTTGTTTTGTTTTTATTATTTATTTATTTATTTATTATGCATACAATATTCTGTCTCTGTGTATGTCTGCTGGCCAGAAGAGGGCACCAGACCTCATTACAGATGATTGTGAGCCACCATATGGTTGCCGGGAATTGAAGTCAGGACCTCTGGAAGAGCAGGCAATGCTCTTAACCACTGAGCCATCTCTCCAGCCCCTGCAAGGCACTTTTGAAGATACTTAGCACAAGGCACTCCAGTGTGCATCCGACTCTCCTTCTCCTACTCCCACTCCAGACTCTGCCCTGGTTCCAGGCCCAGTCTGCAACTTCTGGGGGTTGAAAGAGGATTAATCTCAGCCCCTGCCCTCTAGCATCTCTCAGCCAAATAGGGACACAAGCACCCAAACCATCACTGTACATAATATACTAAGAAGAACAGCAGTAATAATAATAGCAGATGCCACATAGTGAGTTCTTGCTATGCCCAGGCCTTGGGTGTTTTGCAAGCATCATTGATTTGTTCTTAGTAAGCTCCTAGGAGTCACTAGTATCCCCACAGAGGAGGCAACCTAGGCTTGGCAATGAGCCTCAACCAAAGTGTGAGAGCCATCATCGTACCTCAGTCCTTCCCAGCTCCGTAGTCTGAGTTCTTTTCCACTCTCGCAGACCTTGAACCTGCAGCCAAGTGTGGTAAGTAAAGCAACTTGCCCAGAAAGAAAGGGGCTGAATCAAGTGCCCTCTGCCCTCAGCTCCACCCAGAAGCCAGAAAGCCTTGCCAAGAAGACGGTGGTGTGTGTTCCTGACCCTAGCTCCTTCTCCTATCATGGTCTCATCTGGCACGGTCCCAGAGACAGGCAGGCCATGTGGCCAGCATATCTCCCTCTCAGCACTGCCAGGTCACAGCTGGCCCACCTTTGTGCGCCCCCTCCAGTGCCCAGCTCTCTCTCCTCAGCCAACCACACAGCCCTCCTTCCGTTCAGCATTCTTGCCAGCTGGTGTGTGAGCCCTGTGTGAGGAGACGAGGTTGCTATGGCAGCTGTGGAGGGTTAGTGTGTGGGGGGGGGGTACCCTGATGCAAAGCTACTGACCTCTCTGGGAAGGGAGGCTGTGGCCCCAGGCCTGGTAAAGTGCTTCAGCAGGTCACCTCAGACAGCCCACCCCCACCCGCTCTGGCCCTCTGCCCACACCGGGTGCGCTTTAAGAGCTCTCACCACCCGGAGAAAGGGATGAGCCAGGGAGGAAAAATGCCCAGGCTCTTCAGAGCTCAAGCCCAATATAGCAGAACTAATTTGAAATGTCACTTAGGGCAGTCTCACTCCCAGCCAGCAAAAAGCTGGTTTATTTACATAGTTGGCTGTGGCAGGAGGCCAGGAACCTTGTCATGCCAAGGCATAGGGGATGGGTGACTAGGAGCCCTGGTTGTGGCCCCTTGGCCTGGAGCCTTGCTCCGACTCACCATCTGGAAGCCCCTATGGGCACAAGGGTCCTCACCAGTGCCTTACCTCTCTCTAAGCAGTATTCACCCGCCCCGCCCCTTTTATAACCTAGGGCACGGCAGGAATGCTAGTGACTACCTTGGTGCCAGTTTGTGTTAGCACAACACTGCATGCCTGGCATGATTTTTCTTGTTGCACCCTTACAAAAAAAAGGGGGGCTCTCAACCTCATGTCCCAAGTCAGGAAGCTGAAGCTAAGAGAGATTTATGATTTTGTTGTGGTTCTATAGTATAGCCATTAAGAAAATGACAACTGGGATTCAAATCCAGGTCAATCTGACTCCTGGGGCTATGGCTTTCTCCTGTATTGGTGCTTTGTAGCTTGGCTTCTATCATCCAAGCCACACACTACCCAGGACATAGCCTATGTAAGACACTAGGCCCACCAACTGATTACCATTGGCCTATGCGTGTCCATGTGTGTTACTGGGGATTAAACTCAGGGCCTTGTGCATGCTAGGCCCATGCATATACACCACTGAGCTGCACCCCCAGTTCCTGATTGCCTTTTTAAGCAGAGTGCCCATGGGTTCTCTTGGATTGCCCAATGGACCGATTGGCCTGTGGAAGGCAGAGTTCAAGCCCCCAGGAAGAGGGCAGGATGTTTCTGAAGCTTACTTGTATGTTTTAGTCTCGGACTCACCCAGGTCCCTATCTGAGATGGTTGCAGGCAAGTGGCAGTTCCAGCTGACTATGTTTTTCTCTGGCATGTACTGAGTGTCCTTTCGGTGACTGGATGGTTGTGGCTGCTCAGAGCTCAGAGAGAAAGGTGCGGTCCCTGTCCGCATGGCTCTTTGAACTACCACCTATAATAATATCACAAGATGGGCTAATGTTGAGTGGTCTATGCCAGGAACTGTTTTAAAGTTAAAGACTCTGAAAGAGGTCCTATTGCTCTTCTCAGGTGAAGAAAGAAAGCTTTGAGAGACACAGTATTTTTGCCCAGGGTCACCTAGCTGGCACGAGATAACAGTGGGGTGTGAACCCACGCAGCCTGTTGTCAAAGCCCATATTTTTAATTTTTAAAAATTTATGTGTATGGGTGTTTTTATCAGCATGTCTATCTATGTAGCAAGTGTGTGCCTGGTGCAGAGACCAGAATAAGGTATCAGATTCCTCAGAACTAGAGTTACAAATAGTTGTGAACTACCATGGGAGTGAGAGAATTGAACCTGGATCCTCTGGATAAACAGCCAGTGTTCTTAACCACTGACCCATTTCTCCAACCCCCATACTTCCCATTAATCCACCCTTATCTGATATAAAAGGGGAAGGTTACACACAGTGGTGAGGAGCCTTAATTTGCCAAGGGTTCCAT